GCCCTTGGCCTGGATGACCAGGGGCCACTGGACCTGGAGGCCTACACTTGGAGAGCCCCTTTCCAAAAGCGACAGCTCCGACCAACGCGTTTGTGTCGGCAGGGTTGAAAGATGGTTTGTTCTGTCGTATTGCTGTAAAAAAAGACAAGAAGTGTCAACATATTTAAATGTATAAATACATTTTACAAAGAATAATCTGGACAACATAAAAAAACATACCTGCACTTTCTGCATCTCTGTCATCACGAGGATTGTTGAGCTTCTCCAACAGATTGGAACACAGTTTATTTAACGTCTGGATCTGTTTCTGTTGACAGAAATATAACCAGGTGGGTTTGATCGATTAGAAATATTCTGCAGACGTAAACAATGTAAGACTATTCTACATTTTAGCACAGCATAACTACTTAATGGGATTGTTCAGATGTTTTAAAATAAGTTTGTATGGAGTACTTACCCATAGTTAATATAATACCTACAGTCAGAGGTGTAGTGCTGATTGTTAAAGTCTCAGAGTGTGATTATGACGCAGTGCAGGTAGGTAGGTAGGTAGGTAGGTATGACTAAGAAAACGCAGCGAAGCAAGGCTGGATGTCGTAAAGGGGACTCTGGCGGCAAGGTAAAGCAGTAAAATTATTCTAAATATAGCGAACACTCAAAGTGATACTGATTCTTTTTAGGTGGATAAAATACGTTGTGCAGCTACCCATGTACACAGCAGTACATTGCTTAGCTTCTGTGGCAGCACTCCTGCCTGTGTGCTGACCAACATCTGTTGCACGTCATACACTGACACCGGATAAGTACCTCATACGACCCCACTTCAAATAATCTGTACAATCCCTTTAACATTTATGCATGTCAGTAAGACAGCATCAGTCCATTCAGTCCATACAATACCCAACTGACCTGTGCCACCTCTGGGCCAATTCGTCCTGCCTCTGCACTCAGCTGTTTCTCTTGCTCCTCCACCTCTGGATCTGGTTTAGTCCGCAAGTAGTCTGGTACAATCTCGTGGCTGAACACTGGGACACGCTGCTCTGTGAGTTTCTGTAGGGAGAACAAGCGGAGAGCGAGATTGTAAACAGACAGCTCAGAGAGATTGCTTGAAAAACACATAGAATAGGCAGACGTGTTAGTCGCTGGCTCTGATACTCACTGCTAAATCCTCATCTCGGTCTGGAGACAGAAGCAGCGGTATTATAACCTGGTTACGAAAAGATGGCGTCTTTTCATTCTTGAGCAGTTTATTGATAGTGTTCAGTTGACCGGATAGCAGAGCAAAGTTGTCCAAAACAGAGGGCCTGAATGACACAAATATATTACAGCATCAGGAAAAAAAACACTCCAGAGGAACATCGTTAAAATCCTAATCTGTACATTTTGATTACAAAATATCAAACATCTTGTGTCATAAGTGTGAAGTTATTTCACCGCATTGCTTTGATACAGTAGGAAAAAAAGTCTTGATACAACAAACACTCACCGGTCACTTTATGAAGTACACCTGGTCAACTGCTCGTTGAAATAGCACATATCTTATCAGCCAGTCATGTAGCAGCAACTCAATGCATTTATGGGGAAGAAAGGTGATTTAAGTGACTTTGAATATGGCATGGTTGTTGGTGCCAGACAGGCTGGTCTGAGTATTTACTGGGATTTTCACACACAACCATCTCTAGAGTTTACAGAGGATGGTCCGACAAAGAGAAAATATCCAGTGAGCAGCAGTTCTCTGGGTGAAAGTAGGCTCATTCAAGATGAACTGCGCCTCGCCTGAAAAGTAAACGAGAGCAGGCGGCCGCAGCGGGGGGCGGTGACAAAAAGCTGCGGTGAAGTCGGACAGTTTCCAGCAGCCTTCAGTCCATGCAGGAAGTCACAGACACACTTACATCCTGTCTGGAATGGTGTCAGTTCATTAAAAAAGTGATTAGACCCATTTATCAGTTTGTTTTCACCATCAGTCACACAACATGTTTTCTGTTCACAGAATAAACCTTCATTTCAGACAAATACAATCTTTATCTCTATAATTCAACATAAATGAGTAGTTTATCTAAAACGTCATCTTGTTGAGTCCACGTCTAAACCAATCAGCTGTTAGATCAGGTGAGAGCCAGGTGGTGCAGTCGGTGGAGAGCAAATGCAGCGCTTGGCTCTAAAAACTGCGGCCGCCTTGCTCTTGCGGCTTTATCGACGTCCACTTTTGTAATACGTCAGAGCAAGTCGGGATGAAGTCGGACACAAAACTAACCGGCATGCATTGTGCGCCGATCGCCGGTGATCGAATCTGCGCAGCACTGGCTCATCTCGAACGAACCTAATGCCTTGTTGATGCCAGAGGTCAGAGGAGAATGGCCAGACTGGTTCAAGATGATAGAAAGGCAACAGGAAGTCAAATAACCACTGGTTACAACCAAGGTGAGCAGAAGACCATCTCTGAACCAACAACACGTCGTCCAACCTTCAAGCAGATGGGCTACAGCAGCAGAAGACCACACCAGGTGCCACTCCTGTCAGCTAACAACAGGAAACTGAGGCTACAGTTCACACAGGCTCACCAAAACTGGACAATATAAGATTGGAAAAACGTTGCCTGGTCTGATGAGTCTGGATTTCTGCTGCCACATTCAGATGGTAGGGTCAGAATTTGGTGTAAACAACATGAAAGCATGGATCCATCCTGCCTTGTATCAACGGTTCAGGCTGCTGCTGGTGGTGTAATGGTGTGAGGGAGATTTTCTTAGTACCAACTGAGCATGGTTTAAACACCACAGCCTACCTGAGTATTGTTGCTGACCGTGTCCATCCCTTTATGACCACAGTGTACCCATCTTCTGATGGCTACTTCCAGCAGGATAACGCACCATGTCACAAAGCTCAGATCATCTCAAACTGGCCTCCACAGTCACCAGATCTCAGTCGCCTCCACAGTCACCAGATCTCAATCCAATAGAGCACCTTTGGGATGTGGTGGAACGGGAGACTCACATCATGGATGTGCAGCCGACAAATCTGCAGCAACTGTGTGATGTCATCATGTCAATATGGACCAAAATCTCTGAGGAAAGTTTCCAGCACCTTGTTGAATCTGTGACACCAAGAATTAAGGCAGCTCTGAAGGCAAAAGGAGTCCAACCTGGTACTAGCAAGGTGTACCTAATAAAGTGGCCGGTGAGTGTATTTACCTTAGAAATGCCGTAGGCTATGATAGCAGAAACTGGTACAGATTAGTATTTCGAGAAAATTGTGCTTTACTTACCATGTTAATCGCTCGTATTCATTTTCCAACTTATAAATGAAACTGTGAAGAGCGTTTTTGACGTGTGCGACCCGAGAAATGAGAGACTCCACCGCCGCCTCCAGCTGCTTCTCTTCTCTTTGCTAAGAGTGATACAAGACAACAAGCTCCGTCTGATGAACAAAACCCAAAACACACACGACACACACCAGACAATCCTAACGACAGTCTGTGGTAACCCCAAAGTTTATCAACGTAAATGTTAATTCAATTTTAAATTAAACCTGAAACGACTGTAATGCTAAACTAGCTAGCTTGAATGCAAACTTATTTAGCTGTTAATGTTAGCATGCTAGCTACTGCTATCGCTACAAACAAGTCAAACAGAAGCACCGTGTATAAGCGTGTGCACATTAAACTTTACAGAAAATAAAAGTAAATAATATAACAAAGTATCACGCTGTGAATTATAATATATGAGCATTAAAATGACATTACCTGCATTGTTCAACTACAAGCTCACGAAGAAACGCTCCGACCGGTCAAGGCTGAATAACTTCCGGTTCACGTTGTCAAAATAAATGCATGTGTTTTAAATTTGTGAAGCCACTATATGCATTTTTCTCCTCCACACGGAAGCATACTAAAATAACAATAAATAAATGAATAAATAAATAAAATAAAATAGACTTAAATCCAATTCAATTAAATTGTTATTATTATTATTTTTAAATGCATTAAGTAGTGAAATGTAACTAAGCATATTTACTCATGTACACTTGACAGGCAAATATTGTACCACATATCTTCACATTTGGTGATTTTGAATTACAGTTTTTTAGGTAAACTGGAGGACTAAACTTTCCTTTATGGATGGAAAAAAAATCCTCCCACTTCTTAAAATAACTTAGCTGTTTAAAAATTGGATTAGCTGGCAAAGGCATTGTGAAATTTTCAGTGTCCTATTACTAATTTCACTAAAGCAAAGAATCCCAGTACTTCATCCACAACTGAATCTTAAACGTGATCCAAAACAATAACTGGGGTATATTAAATATTATGTATGTGCATCAGCCTAAAAATACAAGGTTTGCACAATAGGAGATGACAATAATTCTACTCACAGCCATTCCACTACAATATTTCCGGTGAAAATATGCAATATTGCAGATAACATTGTAGTACAAAGGCTGCTGCACTATATCCTGGCCAGCTAATTAGTATTGGAAAATAACTGCTTAATGATACAGAACCAATGTCGTGCCCAATATAAGATGAGCATCAATAGTTGTGCATACTTTCATTTCAAGAACACAGATGTTTAAAATATTATGCCAAAGAACGCTCATATTTAGTAGTTGCAGGCACATGGAAACAGGGTATTGTTAGCACATGAATGGTAATGAATAATAATTAATCAATTTCCCTACAGGGACAATAAAGTATATTGAATCGTATCGTATCATATCGTAAACAGGACTGATACTAACAGTACAAAAGTAAAAAGCTGCTGGTCCTCAGGTAATTTTCACAGGACCTTATCTGCCCCCATTCAAACATGTTTGGACACCCCTGAGTTACAATGTACAGATCAAACTGGAACTGGAGATGTCAATGATTTCACTGTACTGGCAAAAGTCTACTGGTTATTTGTAAAATTGTCAATATATACATGCTTGAAACTAATGTGTTTGTCAGTTGTTACTAAAGAGGTGGTAGTAATTTATCTTTTACTCAGAAGCAAGCAAACAGCAAAAGAGACTTTGTATCTAAAACATTTTATTTTGATAAAAAGGTGTTAGTTGTTCAACTGTGTCAGTTCAGCGTAAAGTATAAAAATCTGGTACCAACTGATAGATGCTGATGCTCAGTTCACTACACACAGTATTTCTGAATAAGGCTCATGGTCGTTCTCACACACACACACCAGCATTTGTTCTTTTTGTAATACGCAGATTTCTATTCATGTACTTGGTTAATTCTAAAGTAGGCTCACTTGTTGGATGAAGAAACTAGAGAATTTTGAACAGGTTCTTAAGTTCTCACAGACCTGCCTCTCTCTAAGTACATGTGAGATGCAAACATAGGCTCCACCCACACTTATACGCTTTCATTTTAATACGGCGGTTTTGGGGGTTTCAATATGTCAGAGTAGTGTAGGTGCTAGGCGTATGCAGCAATAGAGATGCGTTTTAAATGAAAACGTATTAGTGTGGATGTAACGTTCGTGTAAAGAGAGTGCTACATGTTCTCATATCTGGTGCATAGATCATGAATGAAGAGAGAAGTGCAGCTTTTAATTCACATTTGTGGCACAACTTGGTGAGAGGAGTTTAGAAGAGGCTCTCGACGTCGCCCATTTCTACGACCACAGTCTTCAGCTGGGAGTAGTACTCGATTGTCACCTGGCCGTTCTCTCTGCCAAAGCCTGATAAAGCACAGTAGAGATTGTGTTAACACGTCTGTTTTAATGATTCACCTGACTTTGATTCAGCGAAGCAATAAAGCAATAAAGTGCAATAAAGTGTAATACTGTGAATGTATCTCCTTTGCATTAACAATGACAAAAGTGGTGATTCTGACTATTTTAAAACACCCTACCTGAGTTCTTGTATCCTCCAAATGGCACCTCCACAGGGCTGATGTTGTAGTTGTTGATGTAGCAGGTCCCTGCCTCCAGGTTCTCAGCCACACGATGGGCTCGAGAGATGTCCCTGCAGGCAGAGGAGAGGAACAGACTTCAGATTTTAAGCACAAAAAAAAAAAAAAAATTCAACAGTCTGTATGCAACTTGATCACACAGTTAACATGCTGCTTCATCTGCCCTCCAACCACAGAGAACACTATTGTGCAATAGTTTCCACTGGAACACCTGAACTGCTGCCAATAGAATGCAATAACCTCACTATCTACAAAAGCTAACGGTCAGCGGTGTGAATCAGGAGTGGCAACAGACTGCTGAGTAATGATGACAAGCTCAACTGTGCTCTGCTGACCTGGTGAAAACTCCAGAGGCCAATCCAAAGGTGGTGTTGTTGGCCCTCTGGATCACTTCTTCCTCTGTGTCGAAAGGCAGCACGGACATGACCGGGCCAAAGATCTCCTCCTTCACACAGGTCATGTCGTCTCTGCAGTTATCTGTGTCAGGAAAAAGCAGTGGATGTAACACACGGTGCGAACTGGGACAGAATATTTGTGACCAGTTGGGCATGTCAGTCTGTAGGTTTATTTGCACACACAACCATACACACTCCGCTGATGGCTGCAACACCATGATAAAACTTGTGAGAGTGGATGACCAAAGCCTGGCTAATCGAAGCCACACACTCTTTTCTTGCCCGATGGTCAAACTTACTTGTCCAAAATAGAAAATATAAGCTTATTGGAAAAATAAAATCAACAAGGATTTGGACAGTTATTTCTGTCGCTCGTTAATCCATTGCACAGTGCGTTTGAGATCAGAGCAGACACACAATCAGGAACACAGCCTCTGGTTGGATGCCTCTGCAAACCAGGCAAGTTGCACTTACAGTTTACATTTATGTCTGTGAAAGCATGGATGCTTCTCACATGTCAATTCAGTATCTGACCAAATGTTACCCCTTCTGTTCCTGAGATATGACTCTAAGTAATGGCCAAATAAGTGTTTTTTGCAGAACATTATGATGTCATAGTGAAATTGACCTTTGACCGTTTAGATATAAAATGTCATAATTTCATCATTATGTCCTATTAGATATTTGTTTGAAATTTTGTCATAATTAGCATATGAATTCTTGAGTGTTTTATGAAGTCATAGTGACCTTTGACCACCAAATTATAATCAGTTAATTCTTGGACGTTGGTGCCAAATTTGAGAAAATTCCCTTAAGGCCTTCTTCAGATATTATGTTAACAAGAATAAGACCAACTCAAGGTCACAGTAACCTTGACCTTTAAAATCTAATCAGTTCATTGCTACGTTTGTGCCAAATTTGAAGAAAGTCTTCCGAGGTGTTCACGAGAATGAGACACATGCAAGGTCACATTGATCTTTGACCTATAACAACCAAAATCGAATCCCTTCATCGTTGAGTCCAAGTGGATGTTTGTGCCAAATGTGAAGACATCTCTAGGCGTTCTTCAGATATTGCATTTAAAAGAATGCGACACATGTATAGATGGACAGATGGACAACCCGGAAACATAATGCCTCCGGCCACAGCTATCTCTGGCACAGAGGCATAAAAATTGATAAATAATCACAAAAGACATTTAGTTTGACTTCATCTTTACGATTCTCCAGAAAGACGCTGCAGTTTAAGGCTGAATTACAAAGCTTCTGAAAGGGATACGATCGCACCGTAGTCCTCGTCGGTACAGCACAACGGTTAGCTTCTGGGCAAAAAACGGTATGTCATACATCTTCACTGACCCCAGAGTTAACTTTTATGGTGTTCAGTGTGTCAGATTTTTGTCATCAGTCCTGTTAAACGCTTTGTCGCTTGGTGGGGAGAGACTACAAAGAGACTTACCAAGTACGCAGGGTGACATGAAGTAGCCTCCTTTCAATTTGGGGTCACTGGGGACAAAGGGCTCTCCTCCACAAAGCACTTTGGCTCCCTGGAAAAAACAGACATATGAGTCAAATAATTATGAGAATGAAGGTAGGAGTAATTAAACTTCATATAACTGCTGCGGTGCAGTGAGAGTGTCAGTGGTGCTATCACAGCTGATTTATTCTCAGATAAATGCCTCTCCACAGCTGCTCAATTCTTCCACAGGGATCATTAAATGTTCCTCTGATCTAATGATTGGAGGATTATAAACACACCTGCTGCTTGGCCTGGTTGACATATCCCAGCACTTTGTCCAGCTGTGGCTTGCTGATCAGCGCTCCCATTCGGGTGCCGTCCAACAGGGGGTCACCCACAGGGATGGCCTTAGTCCTCTTCACTACTTCTTCCAGGAACTTGGGCATGATCTCTCTCTGCACAAACACTCTGGTCCCATTGCAGCAAACCTGTACAATGCAGAATGTCGAATGTATCGGCTCAGGACGGGCTTGACATCATACGACACAACGCATATATGATACAACTGCCTCACCTGTCCCTGCGTCAGGAAGTTTGCCATGAGTGCTCCTTTCACTGCATTTTCCAGTTCACAGTCTTTGAAGATCAGGAGAGGAGATTTCCCTCCGAGCTCCAGAGTCACCTGCTTCACACTCTTGGCAGACATTTCCATGACCTGAGGGCGGGGAGAACACACAGGGTATTAACGAGGTCAATTGAAGCCTTGTAGCCTTGTCAAGAGTTAGATCAATATCAGGTAATACTGTGAAAAGGCCTGGCCTGTGGTTTTTCCATACTTCTGCTGACAAATAAACTGCACTGAAAACATGTCCTTCTTGACCAAGGTGAAAAATTTGGTGCTGTCTTGCTCTCAGTACCTTCTTGCCTGTTGGCACACTGCCAGTGAAAGAGACTTTGGCGACCTTCGGGTGATGGCAGAGCAAGGTGCCAGTTTCTGCTCCACCTTGAACCACACAGAAGAGTCCGTCTGGTACCCCTGCCTCTTTGTAAATCTCAGCCAGAATGACGGCAGTCACAGGAGTCATCGGAGAGGGCTTAAATACCATGGCGTTACCTAAACAACCAGATTTAAACACGGTGAGTTATGGTGTGATTATTTTTAAGGGACAGGAGAGACACATTACTGCTGCACCATAATTATCTCAAGTCTTATAATAACTTGGTAATACACACTGTTACACGCTCACCACATGCCAGAGCAGGAGCAGACTTCCATGTTGCGATCTGGAAGGGGTAATTCCATGCACCGATTCCCACGCACACACCAAGGGGCTCCCTCCTGGTGTAGGCAAAGGATCCACCAGGAAGCTGGACGTGCTGGCCTTCAAAGAACCAAATATAACGCAACATTAAACGCCAAGTTTTGGAACTTAAAAGAACAGTGTGTAAGACTTGAGGGGATTTAGTGGCATCTAGCAGTGAAGTTTGCAATGAGATGAAACTTCTCCCGGTTAGAATTCCTTCACTGTTCATTGTTCAGAAGGTTTTAACATGGAGACAGGACAGGCCTCTCCGAAACAAACACACCCAGTAAAAACACTGAATAAAGCAGTTTCATGTTACAAATGAGTGTTTCAAAAACTAAAGTGCACCCACCTGCAAGTGTACCAGCCATGCCAGCATAGTACTCAATGGTCTGCCAGGAAATATCGATATCAACCAGTGCTTCAGTGATGGACTTGCCATTGTTGATCACTTCCAGCTTTGCAATCTTCTCCCTTCTTTCCTATTTTTATCACAATAGCATAAAAAAAGAACAGCTGTTAGTGCAAAACTTTGTCAGAACTATTAAAAAAGATATCAATGTAGTCAGTATTTAGTAGGTAATTTAGTGTCATTACATGTATATAGCTTTAAAAAGGGAAATACATCCATTTTCATAACACACACGTTATTCCTATGGTCTACTGACAGTGAATGGTGAAAGATGTTCTAGATGACACTGAGAGCACCCAGGGGAGTGTTACAGTACACGGGTGCATTTTCTGTTTCAGAACTGAGAAGACTACATTAGTGTACAGTTCACTTGGGTGTAAAAAGAAACACAATCAGTCTCTCGTTCATAGACTGTAGAGCAGCTCCACACTTTACACCCTATGATATCACAGGTTTCTGGTTTCTGGCTTTGAGAGAGGGCGGCTTGTGTTCACCAGTATGGACTGACCTTTCATAGACCATTTATATAACATACTGGTATATAGGTGGTGTTCCCCTTTAAGATTATATAATCCTACCATGACATTAAAGAGGCAACAGACACACAAAAGGTTTATTTTGTACAAATGTAGGCCAGCAGTGGAGGGAGGGGAGGGGAGTTTTTGCTTTTAATGAATAACTACTGTCTTACGGTATGCTTTCAACAGTCAGCTCCAATTTGAGCTGCGCAACAGTGATATCAAACTGGACAGACTCCAGACTACATGGACACAGATTGACCCTCACCCTGATAATGCGGGCGGCCTCTAACATCACCCGAGCCCTCTCCATGCCCGTCATCTTGCTCCACTTTAGGTAGGCAGCATGGGCGCTCTGTATGGCCTCATCCACCTCCTCAGCCCCACAGGGTACCATCTGACACAAGACACGACCTGCACAGACAACAAGATCTACAGGTTACTTCATTACTTAACAAGCAGACTATCTCAGTTATTACCAGAGGTGGAAGAAGTACTTAGACCTTCAACTTAAGTTTAAGTGGCAATAATGAAGTGTAGAAATACTCTGTGTTCAAAACTTGACTGTTTACTTTGAGGACAGAAGTAAATATCGGATTTTAGTACAGTACCTGAGTAAATGCAGGGTTCCCCACACATTCATTTATACGTGGCGGCCTGCCATGATTAAAACATCTGCTGCCATGTTTTGATTTTCTATTTTTGGAAACTCATTGTCCATTTTTATTATACAAGATATGATTTAAACCTCGGGATACAAATGTGTCTTATTTGAAATTAAAATGACATGAAAATGGTGTATTTTAAGTTTGTCAAGTATTTTTCTCTCCAGCTAAATGCAAATCACAAAAATCTTCACTGGCGTCATGTAACTACAAACATTAATGTAAATACGGCACTTAAGCACAATTTCAGGTGCTTGTACTTCACTTGAGTCTTTTCTTTTTAATGCCACTTTATACTTTTACTGCACTACATTTCAGTGGGAAATTTGGTACTTTTTGATTCGCTACATTGATCTGACAGCTTTAGTTGTCTCGCTTGAGCTACTTAAAGATTTTTTGCGTAAAAAACATTTTATGAAACATGATGCTTTGTTGTAAATCGATCCACCCAACAGTTAATACAAATACAGCAGGCTGGGATTGGGTTAGTCTCAGGTCTTCCTCTTCCATCCACCTGTCCCACCGTCCCGCCTGACCACCATGCGGTCTAGAGCCTTCAGCCGCTCTGCCCCGACTCTGGACTCCCTCCAACCAGACAGTCGTGCCATCAGTCTCAAAGCCTAAAAACTCACCGCTTTCAAAAAGCCTCCCATCCATTTGACTTTATTCCTTAACTCGTTGACTTTTTTTGGCTGTTATTTTCTCTATCTTTGCCTGTAAGGTGATCTTGAGTGGTAAAGGTGTCCATATATAACATGTTTTATTATCATTATTATTAATCAATTAGCCACCTGACACAAAATTATGCAAGAACTAGTCTTTTTTCTGCATTTTCACAGTGTGGTACTAGCATTTACTTATGTAAAGGAACTGAATACTTCACCACTGCAAAATACTCAAAAGTAATTAAATATTACGAACGTATTTTAAATACATTTAATTGAAATACTTTCCATGTCTGCTTGTTATCAGATTTGTTTAAAGTCATCACATGCCATAGCTAATCCACCCACCACAGAAGAAGAAAAGGGAGGGTTAGAGTTACATAACATCATGTCCTCATAGTGACCCTGCTGCACAGATGTGTGCACCCACCCACCTCATCCGACTTAACATTTTAACCAGTATGACCAGTTTAGACATGAAGCAGTGCACAATGAACCAGTTTGCAGTGTGCTGTATTTACCAGTCGCAGGTTCAAACACGGGCTCTGCGTTTTTCTCCTGCCGGGGCTTCACTCGTTTCCCACCCCAGAAATTCAGAGGCTCTGTGAACACCACGGTTCCTGTGCTGGCTCCGGGCATGGTGTCGAGGATTGACTGGGCCATTTTAAAAAGAGGCAGTGGACCTGCAGGGACACGAAGCGTTACAGCAAAGTTATTTAATTAACTAACATTTAGGACAAGTGAGTCAAACTGCTCGCTCTTACCGTTAGCTAACTGTCTGCATCACTGTAGTGCTATTAGCTAAACTAGCATGAGACACGACAGAATGCGCAGGTAAATTTAAACAGATATGCACAAAAAGGAAATTAAGCTTTACCGTTGTCGTTTCAGCAGACGGACTGGAGAGTGTCGATGGAGAGGTCGCATAAAAGGAACCTTTCACGCCCCGTTAACCTGTCAGGACACGCCTCCTGCTGCTGCCACCTAAGATTTTAACTGCGCCTATAGACAGTGGATTACGCCTTAAAGGGCAACACACACGGAAAATTACCAAATGTCGCGAGTATTGGAGGGCCTGTGTCCTGGAATTGCTATGGTAAAATGATTCGATATTAAAGTAAACTTTAAACACCTAATTTACTTCAAATGTATGGTAAAACTATTATCTAATAATTTCAATTGACTCGCTATTATGATGTTGATTAATGGACACAACATTATAGAGCTCCTAAGTTGCGTGTTTCTGGTACATGGGACCTTAAAAATCGATTTCTCATAATGTATTTCAATGGCTAGATGAAAATTATTTTCTGGTCCTGTTTGAATTGTGCCATAAATTTCACATAAGTTGTTTGTGAATTTTTAATATGTTTTTTCGTGCAAAGAAGGCTACAATTTAGCGAGAAGAAGTTTGATACTGTTAGGTTTTGTGTGAGAGCGCTTTGTGGACTACAGCTCTTCGCTGCTCTCGACGCGTATGATATACATCACCACTCGCACTCGGAACATGGCTGTGTCTCTGGTACACTTCACCGCCTTCTTCCAAGGAGAGGACAAAAGCCTTAAGCATGGTGAAAACCACTACAAGTCTGGACATGTGGAAAATTTCAGTGGGGAGATGTTTGCCGATCTGATAGCTCCATAGATCGTGGCAGAAGACCCAGCAGCAGCACTGTGAGGTGAAAAGTGGAGGGAAAGTGTGATGACGTGACGTCACATAGGCGACATGTAGTCTTTCTCATTACGTTGTTTCCACAGCCTTTAACTGAAGAATCATACAATAAACTGTCAAACTCATGAACAAATGAAAAAATATTATTTAGACCGACACAAAACATTTGTGTAATCCAAGGCATTTAATGACTGGGACCAGAAAATAATAATTTTCTCTCCATTGACTCCCATTCATATTTTCCGAGCCTAGAGGTCCTATGGGGGTCTACCGGAAGGGGCGTGACTTATGAGCTCTCTGATGTCATGGTGAAGCTGACCTTTGACCGTTTGGATATAAAATGCCATCACTTAATCATTTTATATCCAATTTGACATTTCTTTGAAGTTTTGCCATAATTAGCATATGAATTAATTTGGTCACAGTGACCTTTGATCACCAAATTCTAATCAGTTAATTCTTGAGTTCAAGCGGACATTTGAGCCAAATTTGAGGAAATTCCCTCAACGCATTCTTGAGATATTGTGTTCACAACAGTAAGACCAGCTCAATGTCACAGTGACCTTGACTTTCAAAATCTAATCAGTTCATTGTTAAGTTTGTGCCAAATTTGAAGAAATTCTTTCCATTTTATGCTATCAGACATTTGTGTGAAATCAGAATTAGAATCGGTTTTATTGCCAAGTAGGTTTTCACATACAAGGAATTTGGCTTGGTGTATTGGCGCATAACAAAGAGTATAAAATATATAAAAATAATATAAAGTAAAAGTATAAAAAGGAAATAGTATTAACAATTAAATATAAAATCTGAGCGCAAATAACAATAATAATAGTAACATAAAAAATATGTACACTGTAAACATGAATAGGGTGCCCACGTGTGCAAATAACAGTTGTGCAAAGTATGACTGTGCAAGTTTAACTGTATGCAAATTTCAGTGTAAGTATGAATTCTGAGTCTGGCCAAAAACATGTTTTGTGAGGTCACTGTGACCTTGATCTTTGACATTCAACAAATTCTAATCAGTTCATTCTTGAGTCTACCTGGACATTTGTGCCAAATCTTACGAAAGTCCTCCAAGGCATTAGAGATACTGCATGCACAACAACGAGAGGGGTGCAAGTACAGATGACCTTGACTTTTGCCAAGCAAAAAATCCAGTCAGCTCCTCGAGCATGAGTGGATGTTTGTGCCAAATAAAAATATTCCCTCAAGACATTCTTGAGATATTACGTGCATGAGAATTTGACCGATGAGGTCACAGTGACTTTGACCAACAAAATCTTATTAGTTCATTGTTAGGTCCAAGTGGACATTTGTGCCAAGTTTGAAGAATTTCCCTGAGTGTTCTTGAGATATCGCATTCAAGAGAATAAAAAAGGACGGACGGATGGACAGACCTCCTCCTGCCACGGCTATTGCCAGCACGGCGGCATAAAAATAAATCAGGAGGGGTAACAAATGTTGTTAAGCAACACCTGCTAGTTACATTGTTACATCTGTGTCTTTACCAAGCATCAGTTAAAAAGTTGAACATGTGGTGACATATTACTGATATATTATTGTACTGGAAAAATTTAAATGGAGCCCATCAGCCACTGGATATTTGTAGAAATGTGATTATAAATGCTTGTTTGTCAGTTATTACTAAAAAAGTGGTAGTGAACTATCTTTACAGTCAATTAATCTTCAGATTCAGAAGCAACAAGCAAACTTTGAATCTAACATATTTAGCTGCTCAACAGATGTATGTACACATGTATGACACAAACACAGAGTACATCCACACTGATACGTTTTTATTTTAAAACAGTGTTTGAAAGTGAAAACGTTCTTTGTACATACAGACATTGTAGCACCATTTCAGAAATAATCTCCATCCATACTAGCATGCATGAAATAGCATATCACATGACCATCCACGCACACTGGGCATGCATGTGCTGGTGTAAACAGAAGTATATCATCTAGTCTGCAGATGGTTGCAGATAATAGAACAGCAATGGTGACAAGCAAGACATGGTATTCTTTTGCTTGGTGGACGAAATTGAATTATTACTTAAAGTAACACAAGTCAAGGTGGCAGAAAACAGATTGAGAGTTGTTGCAAAGCAAATACAGCATAACTGATAAGATCCAATCAGGAGGCACGTGGGTGTCTATGTCATTATTTTCAAAAGTCTCTGTTTACGTACGTCCGGACTAAAACACAATCCCAGCATTTTCAAACTAAAACAAGCTCAGCAGCGTCTTAAAAATTCTCTGTTTTAGGGGTAGACATAACAATAGCTAATGAATTTTAACATGAAAACGTATTAGTGTGGGTGTAGCATTCGTGAAAGAAGAGAGAGCTACGTGTACTCAGATCTGGTGCATAGATCATGAATGAAGGTAGAGGTGCAGCTTTTAATTCATAGCTGTGGCACAACTTGGTGAGTTTAGAAGAGGCTCTCGACGTCGGCCATTTCCACAACCACAGTCTTCAGCTGGGAGTAGTACTCGATTGTCACCTGGCCGTTCTCTCTGCCAAAGCCTGATAAAGCACAGTAGAGATTGTGTTAACACTCTTCTCACCTGATTCAGTGAAGATAATTTAGGTCACTCACTGCAATAAAGTGTAATACTATGAATGTACTTCCTTTGCATATACGATGACAAAAATGGTGATTCTGACCATTTTTTAAACCCTACCTGAGTTCTTGTATCCTCCAAATGGCACCATCACAGAGCCGGTGTTGTAGTTGTTGATGAAGCAGGTCCCTGCCTCCAGGTTCTCAGCCACACGATGGGCTCGAGAGATGTCCCTGCAGGCAGAGGAGAGGAACAGACTTCAGATTTTAAGCACAGCAATATGCAGCCTCATCTGCCCCTGACCACAGAGACTACTTTTGCACAATAGTTTCCACTTGGCAGATTTTTTCATTGGCTGCGGTTCAGGGTTTCGTAAAAGCAGCCGTCAAGAAAACTGCCAAATGGAATGCAATAAGTACTGTGTGAACTCGATACAGAGAAACATGATTGCGTAAGAAGGCTGGCAGCTATCATCAGAAAACCTTACTAATGTTACACAGCAAGCTGGTGTTGTTGTCCAAACAATCAATATGATATTGTATTGTCTTCTGCTGACCTGGTGAAGACTCCAGAGGCCAATCCAAAGGTGGTGTCGTTGGCCCTCTTGATCACTTCCTCCTCTGTGTCGAAAGGCAGCACGGACATGACCGGGCCAAAGATCTCCTCCTTCACACAGGTCATGTCGTCTCTGCAGTTATCTGTGTCAGGAAAAAACAATGGATGTCACTCAGCTCTCAGGACTTTTGTAGCCTCCAACTGAATCTCCGTGGTTTGGAGTTCTCTCCTGCGTCCTGTTTGTACTCTCAGATATCTGCTTTATTTTACGGTTTCACGTTCGCTTTCAGCCGTGAAGGAGTCATGTTAAGTTACTGCTGATGATGCTGCTGCTTCACAATAAAAGCTTTTAAATAACAAAATAAAGGTGGACTTTTATTGTAAGACAAGCCGTCATCAGTCAAAGACACTGTCTAGCAGGTAGCCCAGTTGTAATGGAACCACGAATCCCTGCTATGCTGCGCTGACGTGCCGAGACCAAACCAAGCTAGCACCAGTGTGGAAAAATGATATAGCATGTCAGATTCTTCTCATCAGTCCTTTTAAGTGCTTGGTAATGAAACACAGCTGGAATGGGTGGAAATGAGGGTGTTACAAGAAATCAAAACATCCTGGATAATCCATATAGAGACTTACCAAGTACGCAGGGTGACATGAAGTAGCCTCCTTTCAATTTGGGGTCACTGGGGACAAAGGGCTCTCCTCCACAAAGCACCTTGGCTCCCTAGAGTATCAGAGTCATACAGCTATAAGAATTAAGATAAGTGTAATTAAACTTCATATAGCTGCTTTCATGTGCAGTGAGAGTGTCAGTGGTGCTATCACAGCTGATTTATTCTCAGATAAATGCCTCTCCACAGCTGCTCAATTCTTCCACAGGGATCATTAAATGTTCCTCTGATCTAATGATCGGAGGATTATAAACACACCTGCTGCTTGGCCTGGTTGACATATCCCAGCACTTTGTCCAGCTGTGGCTTGCTGATCAGCGCTCCCATTCGGGTGCCGTCCAACAGGGGGTCACCCACAGGGATGGCCTTAGTCCTCTTCACTACTTCTTCCAGGAACTTGGGCATGATCTCTCTCTGCACAAACACTCTGGTCCCATTGCAGCAAACCTGTACAATGCAGAATGTCGAATGTATCGGCTCAGGACGGGCTTGACATCATACAACACAACGCATATATGATACAACTGCCTC